CGTGTCTTAGACAATAACGACTCGCTGGGCCAATGAAAGGGGTTGTAGAATACTATTTTTCCTTAGTTTATATGATCATCTCCTATGGATATCTTAATGCGACGGAGGGGGTAAAATTTGTTTGTGAAATATCGCCATCTGTCTGACTTGTATGGGGAGTGCATATCGGATGGCGTGGGCGTAGCAGGCTTCGTGGTGGATACGAGTGCGTCCGCTGCTTGCTTCGTTACAGGTGTAAGCACCAGTACAGTCGTGACACTAACTTGTTCTGTTTCGTGCATGGTCGGATCGTAGTGCACTCTAACGCGTTTCTCCTTGTTTTAAGCCGTTAGGTTGTACTTGTTGTGAAGTCTTTTGCTCACTTGCATTTGCTCGTATTAGCGACATTTAGTCATATGATGAAGCCTATCCTCCACAACGATCGTGTAGATGTTGCACTTCGCAATAATTTGACCATCTTTGCTTGTGGGAAATCACTGCATTTGATCAGCACTGGATGGTTCATCCGTATTGTAGGCAATACCATAGACGTGCAATATAATTGTCACTTATCATACACTCATAAGCTTGTATGTGTCTATAATATGCATAGTTAGATCTTGATATTCTAAGTGAATTTACAATATCATCACTAAACTCTACTTTCTCTGGCCTAGTTGATCTGACGAATTGTTGCATTGCATACCACATGCTCACTCGTTTAATTCTATTCGTTCCGTTGATGTTCAACTACGGAATGTTACTAATATTGTGTTTCTGCTATAATATGAATCTTGCAAAATGTACATAACATCTTTTCTAGCCATTTGCACAGTCCATAAGCTAATCAATATTGAAAATTCATTCAACAATAAAGCCTCCATTGCTTATATGATTCAATTCAATTTGTTAGAATTGATATTTGCATGATGAATTGGCTTCTCCATTGGATGACGAAGGACTTTGTTTTGTAAGCATGAGGATATTATTTGTATCTCTCATTTGATCCTTGTTGCATGATCAACGCTTAAGAATGCAGATAGAGATAGCACATTTATCATTGCATCAAGGCATTGCTTGGAAATTGACTCTTCATTCGCATAGATTAGATTCATTGTTTTACTAGCATTTAGCATTCTCAATTAACATGAAAGTCCTTGCACAATTAGGTTGAGAGCTTCGTGATTTTTTTGATTGCCAGTACATTGCTTCATTTTCCAACTAGTCTTTTCTTATGAATAAATCATATGTGGATTGTCTAATTTAACCATCAATCATGCTTGGCATTGCCCAAAAAATCAAGCCAAGTTCAACTCAAAATCTCCTTTGCATTTAGTTTTATTAAGCTTAAGCTTTGTTTTGAGCCACTTTATGAGCCTAGTTTCAATTTCAAGTCAAAACGGAGTCCGAATCATTTGAGTTCCTTTCCATCAAGTTCGGAGTTATTAGTATTCAGCTTTGTTTGGGATCCCAACTTGAACTCTCAATTCGATTCAAGTAGTTCAAATTCAATTTCTTTTGTAGCCAACTCAGTATTTTCTTGAGTTCAAATTCAATCTTTTGTTGGTTCAGTTCGAAGTTAAAAGAGAGTTTCCTTCCATAAGTTTCAAATAAAGTTCAGGCTCATATGAGGCCTTTATTCGAGTCCCCTGCTGTTTTGTAAGAGTTCAAGTCCGAATTCAATATGAGTCTAATTCAAAGTTCTCTTTCGATCATTCTCAAGTCCCAAGCCTTGTCGGCTTTTATGTTCAAATCAGATTCTAGTTCTTTATTCGTCTCATTTGATTTTTCAAATCAAATGTAAGTTCAAATTTTTTATACTTTCAAGCTTATTTGAAGGTTTAGGTTCACTTAAGTCAATTTATTCAAGTCCACAAGTCCATTGGTCTTTCAAGTTCAAAGGCTCAACAAGTCGAGTCCTCAAGTTCAATCATGTCCTTTGAGTTCAATTAAGTCCAAAATGCGCATTGCTTCACCCGAAAATTTCGGAAGCCTTCCGGCGTCTCCCCCGTTCTTAGGGGAAACTACGGAAAACTTGGCCTTTCCCGACCACGCTAAGAAAAGCGTGTATGGTAGGTGCCCTTCTTTCCGAGACACCGCGGCCGTGTGTATTTTGATCCCTCATCCAGCGCTAGAAAAGCGTGTATGGGTATTTTTGAAAACATTTGCCCAGAAAAAATCATTTTTTTTTTAAGTATTTTCATTTTGCAAGAAGGCAATTATTTCCCGCAAGGCGGTCTTATGGGTATCTCCGCTTCGTCGTGCGGCATCGCACCGGATCCCTTCCCCCACGCTTAGAAAGGGTGTATAGGCGGGGTTCAAGGCGATAACAGAACTTCAAAGAAGGAATTAGGTGATATACCCGCTTTGTCGCGAAGCGTCGGGACGCACTCCCCTCCCTACCAACGCTAAGAAAGCGTTGTATAGGGTCGTTTTTTGTCTCGACGCAACGCGATGAAATCGGTTCTCGAAGTTTTAGAGTTTAGAAATTTTATACCTGCGCGGACGGGTGCGTAGATGTCGGCACGAGGATCGAGGGAGAAAGCAGACTTTTTTATTCTTAATATAATTATTAAATTAATTATATTAAAATAATAATGAATTTATATTTAAAATAAAATTATATATAAATGATAAATACAATATAATTACTTAACATAAATAAGTTAAATTTAAATTAAAATAAATAATTTATAATTAATTTTTTAATAATCTATAGTTAATTATTACCAAATAATTAACTATGATTATAATAAAAATTAAATTATAATTTATTTTAAATAAAAACTAATCCATTATTAATAATCGAATTTAAATTATAATTAAATTTTAATTATTATAATTAATTTTTTAATCAAATATAATTAATTATTATTATCAATTAATTATGAATTAAAATAATTAATTTAATTAAAAAAAAAATGACATGAATAAAATCCAGATAAGAGATTTAAGCTAAATCCTATCTAAATGATAGGATTTGAACTAAATCCTATTTAAACAAGCCTAATTAATGTCATGGCTAACTAAATCCCTTGTCTCCTTCTCGGTTCAGTGGATCTACGGGATTATTAGCCGAGAAGAAGCACGAAAGGGATGCAGTTACCTTCACAGCAAGCTCTCCTTATTGCTTGCGATCAAAATGTCGGAGCTTCCGACCCGATGGAGGAAGAGCTGTTTCGGAGAGGAGTCGCGGGTTTTAGGGCTTCAAGAGTCGGCCTTACTCTCTCTCCTCTCTCTCTCTCTCTCTCTCTCCTTTCTCTTCTCTCTCTTTCTCTCTTCTGCGTGTGGACTGCATGGGAAATGGAGTTCGGTCTGAGTGTCGGGATGGGGGATTCGGTCGCAGAAGCTCGTGAAAGGGACGGAGCTCGGCAACGACCTGGGAAAGGAGGAGAAATCGTGAGGCTGAGGCTGAGGGACGGCTTCGACACTTGCGGCGTCGGAGCGGGGCTCAGTCTGGAGATCGAGCGGCTCTGGTCGTGGAGGTGTCGGACTGGAGTCGTAGAGGTGAAGAGGGAGAAGGTCGAGAGCAGCGAGAGATCGGGAGAGAGCCGTGGAGGAGAGCAGCGATCGACTCCGTTTGGTTCGGTATTTAAAGATGCGAATGGGAGCGGGATCGAGGAAGAGACGCGGGATTCGGGCAGGATTTCTGGGAGACGACTGCAAGCAGCGCCGAATCGACGCGATTTGCGGCAGAGTCTCGGCAGATTTCGTGGATCCGTCGGGTATGAGGTTTGTACAAGGATTTTCACTTTGCTTCTCCTCTCATCTTTGCTCTTTTGGGTTTGATCCGTAGGTCAACACTCAACTAATAAATCAACTACTAAACCATGTAGCTGGAGCTACAGGGATTTTTAACAACTTGGCCATTCTATTAAGGCGTTGCTTAAACCCTTGTTTCTTTCTTTTTTGGTTTTTTTGCTTCTCCTTGCATTGAGTGGTAGTTATTATATCATTGCCCTTGGTCTTCCAATGATCGGGCAAAGGTTCAACTATCATAAAAATATAAAAAACATTGTTGTCCTTATATCTTTCATTTTTTAATGAAGTTCTATTCTTGATTTTAACCATTTTAATGATGTAATCTTCACAGATCAAGCAAATTTTCAACTAGCCTACTTTTTCAGTTTTGATAGCCTATTGTCAGACATACACTCTCGTGAACCGCCAGGAGACATCCTTATATTTAGGACAGGACAGGTTTGCATTTGCTTCAGAAGCCAACTTACTATTTTCTATTAATAAATTTTGTCCCTTGCCCTTCCACCAAAAAGCAAATAGTTTACCTGCTGAGCTTTTTATGTTCCTGATAATGGCAACTTCTATTTCCTTGTTGTTGTTGACTAGTTGCTACAAGTTAAAAATCATTGAAACATGGTTCTTTTAGGATGAGATTGACAAAATGGTATCCAAGTTGGAGGAAAAGATTCAAGAGCTTGAGGATGGTTCATGTATGGATGCCCTAGTCCTTCCACTTCATGGCTCTTTACCACCTGAGATGCAGGCATTACACGATCTCTACCGTGTTTTTTTATGAACTTGTATCTTTTCCTTAAAAACTTGGATATTTTTTTCGGATGCTAGTTTTTGTTGCCTATAACTTGGATTGAGCTAGAAGTTCAAATTAAACGAATGAAGTCTGGAAGTTGGTGAAGAACAGTTTATTGTGAAATGAATATTGCTATTTTCCAACAACTTTATGCAGGCCACACAATATTGAATTATTTTGATGGATATATATCTTCATAGTATCAAGAAAACAATCAAAATAAATACATTTCATAAGATAAGATAGATTTTGAAAGATGAGATATTGTTTATTTGCCAAGATGGATTTTTTAGAGGCATATTTGAAGGCTTTAGTTGGGATATATCTGATGTGGAATAAAAAAGATTAGTTTCATTACCAAGATTGTTTTAGAAATTTCAGGGGTAAATACTATTGATGCTTGTAATGATTATAAGAAGGTTAAAAATCTTATAAAATGTGGGCTCCGAAAATTCGGCCCCCAGAGGATTTCGGTAGGGAATCGTGGCAGAATTCGCGGATCCGTCGGGCACAAGGTATGTATGCGGGATTTTCGTTTTGTTTTCTCCTCTCTTTTGTTTGGTTTATACAGAGGTTAACATAAAAAGGGTACTAAGCAAAATAAAATTATATATTCTGATGATTTATTTTATAAGTTTGGGATTAAGGAGAAGATGAGATATGTAAAATAACCAAGGCGAAGGCAAGAGATAAGATATCTAGTGATTTTAATTAAGTTAGATGGATTAGATAATATAAAATAGGTAAATACAACATCAATGAAAGATGAAAATATTATTTTTAAAAATTATTAAGTGGGATTTTTGAGTAAAATATTTTGACAGAGCATAATTAAAATAATAAATATATTGATTAAAAAAAGGAGTTGTGTTAACTTTGAAGAGGATGCATAATGATAAAATTTAGATTCATATAAAATATCTATTGATAAAGCATTCATGTTTGACCACAACTGAGAAAAAAATTCATGTAGCTGACCCCACATTGTGAGATAAAGGCTTGATATTGTTGTTGATAAATATGTATTGAGATTTGGAGAGTTGTGGATTTTGCAATGTTTTAATCAACAAATTCTTTCAATGGAAATTTGAATATTAAGAGAATGCTAAATGATTGAAGAAGTATTTTAGTACCAATATTTAAGTATAAAAAGAGATGTGTTGGGGAGATGAGGAGTAAAGACCACAATGACGAAACTAGCAAGAAAGTAAAAGCACCAAAAAAGTAAAGGACACCAGGATTTAACATGGAAAAACCCAAAATAGAGAAAAAAACTACGAAGTCACACCATACCAAGAAATCCACTATGCAAATTGGGAGAAATAAGTACATATATCTCTTCTCTATCGCTCTCTCCTTACTTCTCTTCTCACATACACCGTTTTCAATGTCTACATACACAAAATACAAGAGAAAGCCATGTAAAATATCCCCAAGGGATGTAACCCTTCAGAAAAATGAGAAAGAAAACCGCCCAGTCCGTCTCGCAGTGCTGCGGCGCTCAAGCCTCTGTCTTGCATCGTTGCAGCGTCGTATCTATACCGCCGCTGTGTCGTAACTATACTGTTGTGGTGCTCTGCTCTTTATTGTTCAGTGTCGAGAGCTCGGGTATGCATCGTTGAGGCGTTGTACGAAAAAAGAAAATTCGGGTGCAAAGTACTAGAACCCAAGCAGGGGATAAATCCTTCGCACCCCCCAGCGAACACGAAAAGCTTTGAGATTCGAGACAACATAATAATCAGATTGATCAATACAATCAGATTCCACATAACAAGATGTCCATAATTGGGTTAACCATAGATAAATTAAATTTATGAGTCATAGTTACAAGGGAAGAGTAAAGGAATATAGAAAAATTTTAGCACCCTTGAAGAATTAATTTATTTTATACTGCAATGATTATTTATGATGGATGTTCAAAATAGGTTCTTTGGTGTATACTTTTCTCAAATAACATAGTCCCAATCAATAAGAGATCTGCTGGTATAAGTGGACATTATAATATTAGCGAAAGTATTTAGAAGACAAAGTGCACAGAATTAGTAGGATAGAAATTGAGTGTATTATATGCAATTGTAATGGATGTGATGTGATATTACTAGCTATAAGTCAAAATTATTAAAACATAAAGCAATACTTACATGTGATAATTTTAGGTATTTTAGATTTATTATATAAAAGAGTGAGAATATAAATGATAACATAACTCTTTGATTCAATCCTGATTAGTAAGCATGGATAAGTGTCTAATGAGTATATTATGAAATAAGAGAATATTATGGAGAATTTAACATAAATTTTAGAAATTTATAATTAAACCGAATATATTATTTGGATCACAGTGCTTAACAGTAAAAAAAATCATCATCAACTAGTTTGAGTGAGATGATAAAATGAATGTGTGATAAAATTATGAGGGTTAACTAGGAATGGTTCTAGTGACTTATAATGAATATAAGATATTTTGTAAGGGCCTTAGTTGATTTGGACTTATACATTGAAGGAAAATGCTCACATTAGACTTGTAGATAAAATTATTGTTGGAGGAATGGGTAAACTTAAGGTAATATGGATAGAAGTGATTCAAAGTACTTTATGGGGAGTTTGACATCTCAAGCAACGCCTAACAAAAATGAATTTAAAGTGATGGTTTCTTAATCCAATCCCTAATAATTTGTATAAGGCCTTATGATGATTATTATGATAATGACGATGATGATGATTCATCAATAAAATTGTTATATGTTCATGACAAAAACATGCATTCACTTGCATTAATATAAGTGATTCTTGACAGTGAGTGTATGGTGATAATTCTGAAGACTGAAATAGATTAATTTCTTGTTCTATAGTTCTATTCTATTTTTGCAATAATCTTGAATGTTTTAATTGATACATAAGTTTATTTTCCCATGTTTTTGTGTTCAGCTGTTAATGAGTTTGTCTAGAAAACATGGCAAACTAACCTATATTGCTCGAGATGTTGAGCAATAAATATGTTAAAATTGAGGAGGAAAAAAGTGAGCACTAACTAGAGTTGATCATTTCTTCAAGTAAATGGCACATCACATAAGAAATTAAACAACATCCAGTACAAAATCAAAATGAAGTAAACCTGTTCGCCTTGTTGTTTCATACTTCATTATTATTATTGTACAATGCAATTAGGAATCAATTATGTTTTCTCTTTTATATTCTCATATTTTCTTTAGATGTTAAATTCTTAAGTGTTGCTGCTAATGATCAGAATTCCTGAAATTCTTAGATATGCATGAAGCTTACCACAACTTATGATAAGACCTAACACGATTCATATACTCAGCATGTTGATTTGTATCTGGATTCATCATTCTTTCATCCACTGGTGTTACCTCAATGTTTCATAAGGCTATATCTCTTACATTTATATATCAAATGTTTAATCATTTTGATGGCTATATTTGTTTCTGTATCATGTAATTGAGGGATTTCTGCTGAGTTTTGACATATTTTTTCTTATACTTAAAAAATTTATATACAATTGACATTCTTTGGGATGTTTAATATTTTTCCCTTAAACTGTAAGCTATTTTCTGTATTTTATTTAATTGGAAATTGCATCATTCGTTATGAAGGCTTAAATTGAAAATCAGTCATTAACTTTATGTTTATATTTTTTATCCCCCTCCATTTAAAGCTAGATATTTTTTGAAATATTGATTAAATGGCAAACGTAATTAGTAATAAGCTTTCATGTGTTAAGTTAAAACATCTAATATGATCTGTTGCAGATTGAATGTTAGATATAATTTCGGACATGTGCGGATTGATTGGTTAAATTATCTGGTTTGTTCGAGAACATTGATTGAATGGCTTATGTAGAACCAACCATGAAAAGGCATTTATTTTGTGGGTTTAAATTGCTCCACGACTTGAGGTAAGGATTGATGATCAATTTTTTGGTGGCAATTTTAGCAGTTAATTAATGCTACCTAAAAAGTTTACCTCCATTAAGAATGTTTTACTACTAGTTAGAGGCTTCTCATGAGGAAAACTCTCATTAATGCTAATTTACCCTCATGATTTTGAGTGAAAGATTCACCTTTTTTTTTACATTGTGAATGGCTTCATGAATTGCGGTTATGTTATCTCTTATATATATATATATATATACTAGTTTAAAATGCACGTGCTGTGAATAAAAATTAAAAAATAAAAGATATATAACAAAATTAGAAAAAAAATTATGAAATACATTATCAAATATATAAAATTCTATATCAATATGAAATATAAAATTTGTATAAATATAGATGATTTATATTTTTATTATACTTGAATTAAGATAAATTGAAATAAGATGTTACATAAAATCCAATTTAGGTTTAAAATAAAATTTAGATTTATTTCATTTATTTTTTGCTGAAAAAACTAATAAATTTCCTTTTAAAGAAAAAAAGTCGTGCTTTAAAAGAACTTACAATGTCATAAATAGAGAAATAATAATAATAATTACAATAAATTTTAATGATATTAAGAAATTTAAAAATAATGCTAGAATGCATTGATGAAAAATGTACAATATGTTAAATAAGATATTTAGAAAGTTCAACAATAACTACATCCAAATTTTTCTTGATAATAACAATGCAAATATCATAATGAATAACAACGTCATTTATGATCTTCATTAAAATATATATGCTATATAAAAGTATATAAAAATTATATAATTAAAACAACTTGATTATTACAATAACCATAAATCTACCAACCATTCACGAAATATAACAATTGTTGAGTGAAGATAAAAGGAAAAATACAATATTTCCATTGAAAATATCTATATGTAATTGGAAACATTATAGAGAGAAAAACGATAAGATATTATCACCCTATAAAGACATCTTTTTATATGTATTGTATGATTCAAAAGCATCACTCAAATTAGAAGACTTTATATTTTGTAAAAAAAATGCATTTTTTTTAAAGTAGAAGTGTAAAAGTAATAATGGCTTAAGAATAGATATAACAAATTCACATTGAGTTTAGGGAATTGTTGTTGCTTTGCTTAAGCAATTATAGTTTCCTTCAGAAAATTGTGTTTCCAACAAGCACGCACTTCAATTATTTAATCATCTTAATTAAAGTTTGATCATAATATCTTAATTCAACTGTGCTTTATATTTGATAAAAATTGATTAAGTGAAAAAAATACTTAATGCCAAAGTTAGACTCAGAAAGAAGCAACTTCATAAGGAAGCTAGAATTTCCAACCGAGAGGTCAATGGAAAAGCTAGCACAGCTACAGTGAAAAGTCATACTCCTTAGCAATGCCTGTCACCTTAATATTCCTCTGCCTTCACAAATTTTTTCTCTTTTGAAACTATTTGTAAGTGCAGGCATCAAAACATTAATGGCTCTAAAATATGTTTGAAAAGATTTGCGTCTCAATATTTAGCTTTTTGTTAATATTCTGCATTTGCATAAGTTCTAATCATTGAGAGTTATGTGAGAGACAAAAGAGACCATAAATCTCAATGGCATGCAAAATTATTCCCAAGAGCATATATCTTGCCAAATTTATATGGAAATATTCAGAAAATTTGATAATTAACATATTTAAATTGTTTATTCTGCATAATGCAGAAGAGCAGATATCTTGCAGAAACCAAGATATCTAAAGGTATAGTGAGGGCAGTTATCAAGCAGTCATGGCACAGTCCCCACAATGCATAATGTTATTGATATGCAGTTTTAGCAAGGATTTTGATTGCCCGTCTTGGTGGCAATTATATTTATGATAGATAATCACCTCATTTTTCTTAGAGATATCCCGGCCTTCTTATTTAATTGTGCATGAATATACTTTGCATTTTCGGAACATCAATGAGTGTTTTTTAAATTTATTCAGTATTATTTTTACTTCTATATTTTCAAGTGGATGGATTGTCTTTTCAATTCCTAGAAAGTAGGCTAGCTAAATCAAAATCACATAAATCTTGATGGTTAGATCCAAATCACATAAATTTTGATATTTCCAGTATATTATTTCGACTTTATCTTTTGTGATTATTTGTGGTACATCATTCTCAATTTTGATGATGCTTCAATTTCAAATTACTGTTCACACTTGAAGTTTGACATAAAATTCCTCCTAAAAAAATTTATAAAAACCCTAAAACTAAGCTCTCCTGGGTGTTCATGCCAATTTCTGTGTTAAGTTTTGCCTACAAATCATCATTAAAATCAAACGTTAAAAATTTTTACAAAGAAAAATGTAAAATCCAAACATAAATCTTCTGACTGTATGATTAATGGATCATCCACTGGAACATGATTCTTTTTCCGTAAAGAGTTGCTCAGTTGGAGAAATCCAGAGACCCCACAATATGGCCAAATGCAGGAAAAGCAAAATGAGCGAAGAAAAATATGTTGATGGATATACATTCCAGCAGAATTCTACAGCAGCAAACCAAAGTGCCTGCATAAACAGTTCAAATGCATTTAGTTATTTTCTTCACTAAAAAAACTTGAAATTTTAAGCATTTTTGGAATTGAAAATCACATGATGATGGTAGGGAAAGGAGTCTTCCACAAGAGAAAAGGCAAAGAAAACAAGTACCTGATGAAAATATATATGATTAGTAAGTGCATTAGAGGTACTATGAATAGAAGTCGCAAAAAATTGGTATAAAATATATTTAAAAATTCAGTACCTAATCATAAGGAACTGTAAATGTGAATTTATAAATATGACCAAAAATAATTAAGATTAAGCTAAACATGATGATTAGAAAGTACAACAAAGGGAGAATAAAGAGGTTTCTAAAACCATCCTAGCAGAAAAAAAGAATTATATCGAGCAAGACAGAGCATGTTTTCGTAATCATGTTAATCAAGAATGACCAAAATTGAGTTTGAATTTAGTTTTGAAGACGTTATAAGAAAAAAACGCACAATTTTGACCGATCATAAATAACTTTGAAATGGTATAATGATTTTCACAAAAATTGTGATAATACAAGTTGATAACACTTGACAAAAAACATCTTTTTGAGAATAATTTTCATTAAATGTGTATATTTTTTTATTTCTTGATCAAATCTAGAAGCAAAGCAGACAAGTCTACAAAATGGCATGTAAACAACTAATCCTAGAAGCAAGAGAAATCTTCTCACACTATCGAGGTTTTGTATAAATGTGGATTTACAATAAAACATGTAAATTTAGTGTTTCTTAGTACTCACCAGGAATAAAACTGATAGCGAAGAAACCTAGCACAAATTATTCCAATGAAATTCCCAACAAACATAACAGCTGCGATATCTGCAAACACGATCAAGTAAAATGATTTTTCACTTCAGAAACAATCATTAAAAGTACTTAATGAAAATATTGCAAAGAAGAAAGTGAAGTTAGAAACTATAAAAGCTGTAAAAAGCTGGTAACTTACGCTCTTTACGAACGACATGGATTATTGATTCACAATAAAGAAATTTTTGGATGTGAATAATTTTTTTATAGCATTATGCAACCTTGAATGCAGAAGATTGAAGAGTCCTCCTTCATACCTGTCGATTCCCTTCATCTGATAGCACACACAATATCGTTCATGTAGAGCAAGAATGATCGAGATCAAGTATTCTTCAATCATTAAAATAAATATATATTTTTTCCCTAATGTTAAGTGGAGCAAGATACCAATAAATCCATACAATCTTTGCATTTCATTAAAATTTCATCCTCTATTGCCCCATTTAATGTCAAATGCTTAAAGTTTAAAATATTTTGACATTCTACTTATTTATTTCTTTTTTTTCTTTTTTGAGCTTAGAAATAAGATGGGTTGTTTTTCCACCAGTTCAGATATTGCAATCATTTTCAAGTTAAATGATTTTATCATTAATGTGGCTCATGTTCTGCATTCAACATCTATGTGGCTTGTAAGTATCAAACTGTTTTGAGCATGGCATACCATTTTGAAAATTGGAAGTCTACCTTCTTGGTTTAGAAAGTTTTAATCTATCCAAGCTACCTTATTCTAAGTCAGATCATCACCAGAGAAGTAAGCAACATGAACTACCACATGAAGCTATTCAGAGTAGGGAGTTTTGCAAGTAATAAGCATGAAAATGTCAATCAGGTCAGTATAAAATTATCATAATTAAAGAGAAGAAAAATAATATTGGATGATTGAGCCACTAGCATCACCTCTACCAAGTGAATTTTCATCATGATTTGTGTGCGAAGATGGTGATGATAATAAATTTCATATGCTGATACCGAAGTTCACACGATCTCCACCAAGGGAGCCTACAATTCTAGTAAATTTGTTTCAAGTAACTAATGCTAACTTTTTTTAAAGTATTTGTTTAGATTGATGAAAACCAAAGGAAATAAAATGAAATTAATTTTAGTTCACTTAAATTCCCATCATAGAAACACATCTTAAGTGTTTCAGAATTGTTTAAGTGCTTGCTTGCAATGCCGGTAACAAGGGAAGCTGGAGACATTCAGAAGGTTGATGTATGCCAGTTTGCATTCACATTGGTGCTTGAAGGTTGAGGTTCGAGAGCATTTACATATGTGCATTAGCAATAAATGTTTTCATTAGCAATATTAATAGATTAAATGATATTACAAATTTCGAAATACAAATTAAATGACCATTACTCATAAGCATTCACCAAAGAGGAACAAAATACATTAAAATTTAATGAACATAAAAATAAATGGAGTAATAATTGAAATTGTAAATGGAAAAGAAAAAAATATGTTGCAATTAAAAAAATTGTGTAAGCTTTATGTGATTTGTGAAAACAGATTCTCAAAAAAATACTAATTTAAGTGTTGCAGAGATGAGGATGCTCAGGTGGATGGGTGGCTTTACCCTTAGAGATAAGATACGAATACGAAAATGAGCATATACGTGAAAAGGTTGGAGTAGCTCCAGTGGAAGATAAGATTAGAGAGAGACACCTTAGATGGTTTAGGCACATAAAACGGCAGCCTTCCGATGACCCGGTTAGGGAAGTAGAGGTATTAGATTTGACTTATGTTTTTTTTTTTTTTTTTTTTTTTTTTTTTTTTTTTTTGAAGAAAGCAATTTAATGCATTAAGAATCAAAGAAACTAATTACAAGTAATAAAAGGATCACATTCCTCCTTGATAAGGTTCCATAATAAGGAAGGAATGTTTTCCAAAGAGAAGCTATCAAAATAAAAACTATCATCTAAAGCAAGGGTAGCAACAACAATTAGCCACCTTATTACAATTTCCGAAACATAATGAAAAATTACCTTATTGAAGTCCTTTAATAAGCAAAGATCCTTATAAGACCATCTATCCATGAGCCTTTATTCTTCTTCTTCAAAGAATCATGAATGAAATTGATAATATTTACATTATCACTCTCCACAATAATTCCTTTGCATTCAAGCATCCAATCACAAAGGAAGTCCTTGGCCGCAAAAACTGCATCAAGCTCCAATTGAGCTATATTCCAATGAGTTCTCTTTTCCTCCAAAAGCACTGATGAATCTGCCCATGTGATCACGGAAAATGCCTCCAATCCCAGCTTGATTGGATCCAAGTAGAGAGAGCTCCACATTGATTTTAATCCAATCCTTTGAGGGGGCACAAGGATGAAGGGACCTCCCTAGGGAGATTAGTGCCCCAACTTACAAGAAAAGGATTAACATTGGAGGAAGCCAAATAAAGAGCATTAGCTTGCACTAAAGAGCTCGGTATAGCAGTTTTTTGGTGCTGAATTTCAATTTCTATTCTTTCCATGACAAGTAAACAATTGTGCAATAGAGTTTCCACCATTCCAGAATTTTGAACCGTTAGAGCCTTTAAACTATGCAAACAGTCATCCAAAGAATTTAAGAAAAGGTATTTGAATACCCCATTCACGAATTCTCATGATTACCTCAATCAAGTATTTACAATTAACCATGATATGCTCATAAGAATCAATTGGAATCACAACCTCTAGCACAGTTTATAAAACTGAAATTTTTCGTTCTTTTAAAAAAACATTAGTTGGGATTACTTTTTGCCAAGTCTCCACCAAAAAGTTTCCACCTTCTTGTTTAGTTTTAGCTTCATCAACCAATTAAAGAACCCATATTCATCATCACTTAATCTATTAGAGCAATAGATTCAAAAGAGAGAGCTGAAACGGTCTTGCCCGAGCACCAATTATCAATTCAATGTTGTCATCAACTCTATATCAATGCTGATTTGGGAAATGATCTCAATAATTTCTTGATGGAAAGCTATCTGCAATTTGAAATATTCCAAATCTCCATTTTTTTAAAGGAACTCACTAATTGGTGGCATTCTCAAGATAAACTCAATTGATAAAAGTGGCCAACGGTTTAAACTTTATCATGCAACCAAGTATCATTCAAAACATTGATACTCTTTCCATTGCCAATGTTCCACCTAGCAATATTCTTCAAAGCCTTTCCCTCCATCTAAAAGGATATGCCA